TTTCTCTGATAATTACGAAAGAAAGAGCATTTTTTCATGTGCCTATTGGCCGTTGGAGAATTGCTTATTTGGATCTTCAGTGCATTTTTGGATTGGGTTTTGTTTTTTACTCAAACGACGTATTATTGACATTTTACATAACCCAGATCTAAGCGTCATCCTGTGGGTCATATGACTGCTTGTAAGATCAGGAAGGAATGTTACCTTTTAAGGAGCTGTCTTGTTGATGCTGAGAGCACATTGCTCTTTACGGCTGAGCAGGCGTCCCTGCCTGCGGGGAAGGTTTTCCCCACGCGTCATGCAGGTACGCAGTGCACAGTGGAGCAGCGAGGGGGCCAAAGGGCAGAGAAGAATTTTGGATGTTTAAACTTTTCTTGGCTTGCCATAAAATACGAATTTCATTTCACAACCCTCACATCCAACTTTGGACTATGGTACAGGGGAGGAATTGAGGTTCAGAGAGGTTAAGGAATTGGCACAAGATCACACAGCTAGCATGTGTTGGAACTGAGTTTCGAGTTGGGCCCTGTTAACTCCCAATACAGCTCCCCCAGCAGCGCCACCCCACAGGTGTCCCAGTGTCCGAGGAACGGGAGCTGGGAGGGGCCCGACTACAGGGCATCTGAGTTGGTTCTGGAAGCCAGAGAGGCCCAGCCCTGTCTGCTGGGCTGGCTAAGCCAGTGTGGGGGAGTGCTTTCTGCACCCCGCGGCTTCCCCTCACCCTGCTGGGAGCCCAGGCCCAGCCTCTCCACTTTCAAGAGGACTATTTTTTTTAATGTGCATTGGTGTATTTATTTGCAGCCATTTAAAACTCTTAAAATTTGAATTTTTAACGTAAAAATGAGAATCAAATTCTTTTTAATTTAGGAGTGTCGTACTATCTGTCTTTGTTCCTGAGGATGTGAGTTTTAATGGTTACGTGGCATCCAGCTGTGTAAATAAACCCGATTAATTTAAAATTCTTTCTCTCTGGGGAGTTTGCTGTACACTTTCCGTGGTGTAAATAATGCTACAAGGATTTCTCTGCATTGCTGATTTTCTCTTAAATCTAAGTACTGTGAAAACTGCGTCAAGGAATATGATCATGTTTTAAGCTTTTGATAAATTTATCAAATTGCTTTAAAAATATTCTATCATTTTATGCTCCCATCAGCTGATGGGGTCAAAATAATAAAGTTTAACAATTATTGCCAAAT